TTTTTTTTTTTTTTGGAGGGAATTATTATTTTTGAATTATTAATTCAATAATTTTTAGTGGTGACCTACTGATTATGCAGAAGTGTCATGCTGTCATCCGCGGTGGGTCAATGTACAACGTTTCAGCTCATTTGAACATCAGTGGGTTAAAGTTGTGAAACAAGATTTGCCACCCCCCCCCCCCCCCCGGAAGTCACTCACTTTGTAAGTGGAGGTCACTGGTGACCAACAATAACAACAACATTTAACAACAACAACATTTAACAGTAACAATATATGGATATAATGCCTTCCAACCCCGGGTTCATGATACCCTCGCAGAGTAGCATTGGAAACCAGTCAAATATCCTCTTCAACACCAGGCGCATAAATATTGCAAATTCCATCTGCATGCATAGGAGCCAAAATGATCAATAAATTGATCGTGGGCCCTTAAGATATGGAAGAAGAAGAACTGATCGCAAACGTTTTAATTATCATCGGAGTTGGGTAAGTGCACAAAGTTTCAGTATAAATAAACCTCATGACGTGGCTCAGAATTCAGATGCCATATTACACTACGGTGGGGGAAAAAAATGACAAATAAAATCTATAAAAAGTGTGTAAAAATATTCTTTTAAAAAAAAACAAACAAAAAACCATTTGACTACTGGGCTATATTTTCTGACTGTGACAATTTATTTGTAAGATAAAACAGCACAAGACGAGTCATAACACTGACACTGTTTTAATGAAATAATTTCACATCCCGATGTCAATGATCTTTGAATGACTTACATGTACATTTCCTTTGGTGGTTAACGTCAGTCGACGTTATCTTGCTCCGAACATCTACAGCCATGTATATTACAATAGATGCCTAAATGTCTAGACACAAGAGCAACTGTAAGCCACCGAATAGTGTTAGCACGGGAAATCTTATAAAATCGGATTTTCCTGGTTTTTTGTGTGTGTGTTTGTGTGTGTGTGTGTGCACCAAACGATGATCCAGAAATCAAAGCTAAAAATAAACACCTACCGCTAAAAACTATTTTTTTTTCCTATAAACCCTTTATATGCATTGTTGTTTGTATTTATATAATTCTGCATGATTTACCATTTATTAATAGGCGGTTACGTAAATGGTAAAGTGCTGGCGAAAAGTATTTCACATTTCCTTCATTTTCCCCTTCAAAAATCTATTTTATTGTTTTTCGTCAAAACTTGTGGATTCACCCCAAAATTGTTTTTTGCCTTTACTGTCCGGGGGCTATTTTTCTTTAAAGCAAGCAGGCCCGTTCTCAGGCATACGCTGACCACGCATCCGCGTAGGGCCCCGAACGTGAGGGGGCCCCCGTGAGGCGCCCTCGATCCCCCTGTTTTTTTTTTTAACTGGCACTGCAGCCGTCTGTGTCACTCACGTTACCTTCCTCATCCTGAAATGTATCATTCTGAGTTGAATTCAGAGGCAGGGGAAGGGAAGCATGAGGGGGGCAGCTTTGGGGTGGCAGACAGGAAATCGGGGGCTTGGCCGTGGGAATGGGAAAGAGGAAACATTGATGAAGGCAGATTAGAGGTGCCGCAGTGGTGGGTGGTGTTTTCTCCTCAGCTCGAGGGAGCTTTACCTCTAGACACCCCCCCCCCGCTTCCGGGGCCCCCAACCTACGTTCCATGCTTAGGGCCCCCAAACTCCTAAGAACGGCCTTGAAGCAAGCATTGCATCATATTTCCTTCATCTTCTCCTTGAAAAAATGGAAAAAACAAATTGATTTTTGGCATTGACGGGAAGTGGGTCCTTTAGCCTTCCGTAGATTTTGCAACACATAAACAAACGAACAAGAGCGAAATTAAGATAAAAAGGGGGGGGGAGGAGCTAAGATATTTACAATTTAACCGTAGGTCTATTCATTGCTGAGTATTAGAATAAAGTTTAAGAATAGACCTTTAGTGAGTGTGGGGGGGNTTTGTTGTTTTTTTTTTTTTGGGGGGGGGGGGAAGGCACATTCAGAACAGGTCCAGTACAGCCAAGCTCAGTACTATTTTTTTCCCACTCACGTCACGTCTAAGGCCTTTCCAAGAATGACGCGGCACACAAGTGCACCAAAACACTAAACGCCTGCTGGAGAGAGCCCTGAAGTAGATCATGTTAGAATACTCTAACGTTAATGCCATTCGCAGTACCTTCATCTAAGAATAGTTAATAAAGTGCTTGATTTTAATATTTAAAAAAAAATTCCTTGGTCATCCGTTGATTTAACAGTCGAAAGTGTGTTTGGAAAAAGTCCCGTCAAAAATCTCACCTCTTTAAGGTAAGATAAGATAATATAGGATAAGATTCTTTTTTTGATCCATATTAATGGAAATGGTTTTGATTAAATTTTACATATTCTTTTTTTTCAGTTCATACATAGGTAGATATTGTACCCAAGACAACAATTTACAATTACGACAATTAGAATAGTTTTTAATGGAGGACATATCTCAAAATCTATTACATTATAATCATAACTATTTAAGACCAGTACGAAATGTATGAATTCTTTAATTGCGGAGTAATGATATTAAAGCATTGGAGCGCTACTTCTGAGCCAATATTTCAAGTTTTACTTACAAAAGCGCGGAATGTTTCGTTTGTGGCCAACGCTTTGGACATTAAACTTTTGTATAGCGTTTTTAAAACCATAAATATTTATTTTCGAGCCCGTGCATTCTTTTCATATCATCAAATGATTCGATGAATATTCAAAACTAATTAATGGTTGGTGAAAACGAAATGGCAAATATGGAGGATTCATAAGTTAAAAATGTACATGTTTGTTATTAGTCGGATAAGCAAAATTGAAATGAATTATTGCCCTACTTATGTCCCTTACCGACATGACCTAATTTATCCACGCGACCTAATTGATACACCCAACCTTATTTATTATTAATTTTCCTTAACTATTATTTTTGAATTTGCCAAGTACACGTAAGGAGTATGGTCGCGAAGTAAAAAAAAACAAAAACAAAAAACATTTATTTTTCGGAGAGAAAAGAGTACAATGGGTTGGTGAATATCATTTCCGCTTTCATATCATTTGTGGTTGTCATGGTTTGGCTAGGTAAACACGGATTGGATGAGGTCACCGTGAATTGAGAGGAAAGAAATTATTCAGATTGAAAGTATACATTATATTTAAAAAAACCTCGATCATTGGGTCTGTTTAAATGAACCTCACTAAACTTACTGGAATCGAGTTTAGAAACAAACAAAGATGATTTTGGAACCAACGCAAATTGGTAAAAGTAGGCGGCAACCACGGGCAAGCTACTCTGTTTTACAAACATTTGAAAATATCCCAGACAATCATTTTTAATAAGCATAAAGTACAACAGTAAATGTTAGCCCCGCCCCCCCCACACCCACCCCCAAACAACACACTTAAAAACAAATCAACAACAGAAACGATCCAGATCTAAGGTGACTCAAAAATTTGTGAGCACAACATTAAATACTTTAAAGTCAGAGGCGCAGTCATGAAAAATGTGCATGACTTAATCAGCATTGCTCTTAAGAGGAACAGAATTGATGTTTGCTTCGTAAACAATAGAAGGCCACGACAGCCGCTGCAAGAGTATACGTTCGTGACATTCTGACATTGACGGCACTGCCCTTCGTGCAGGCATCGTGTTCTCTGTCAAGGACGAGGTGCCTGATCCTGCCCTCCAGACCGGTGGTAATTGGACTGAACCTTTGGATGTGCTCCATCAAGATGTCAGCGTCCATGCTCTCTGGAGAAATCGTAACGTTGCATCATTAGTACAAGATGTGCATTCATTCTTTATGTTCCAACCATGAAAACTGTGCATTCATTCTTTATGTTCCAAAAATGCACACTGTGCATTCATTCTTTATTTTCAAAAATGCACACTGTGCATTCATTCTTTATGTTTCAAAAATGCACTGTGCATTCATTCTTTATGTTTCAAAAAGGCATACTGTGCATTCATTCTTTATGTTTCAAAAATGCACACTGTGCATTCATTCTTTATGTCCCCACCATGCACACTGTGCATTCATTCTTTATGTTCCAAAAATGCATACTGTGCATTCATTCTTTATGTTCCAACCATGCACACTGTGCCCTCATTCTTTATATTCCAACCATGAAAATTAAGCATTCATTTTTAATGTTCCAACCATGCATTGACATGTGGAGATTCTGAACGTGAAAATAAGATGCTTAAATTTTTTATTTTTTTTTTAAATATAAGTCTCAAGTCAGTCCGATTGTCGAGATGGTTTCAAGCAGTTATTGTAAGTTAAGTACAAGATTTACGTTAGAAATTCAAATGCAAACTTATTTCTTTTTCAGCAGGAGTTCGATCTGTGCTAATTTTGATATATTTGGCATAACATTTTTCTCTAGATGAACGGATTCTTGAACTACGTGCCTGTAGCTGTCCAGTGGAAGATCCTCCCCGGAAACATGCTGAAGCCGTCGCCGCCGCTGATGATGTAGGTGTTGGTAACAAGTTTATAAATCCTGTTAATCGCGAGCGGCTCCAAATGGGGCACGCTGCACTCGGTGCACGTCACCAGGAGCTCAACAACCCTGGACCCGATAGGTCTGCGCATGTCATAGGTCACTTGTATTCCTGGGATTGGGGGTGAAAAATAAGTAGGTTACGTTATTTTTGTTATGTTATGTGGGGTGCAAATTAGTTAAACGTACAGTTTCGCTCCCCCCCCCCTCTATTAGATTAGACTAGAGAGAGGTTTTCAAAAAGTTGAAGAATTTTCCTTCTTTAACCTTCTTTTTTTTTCTGAAAGGAAAAAAAAAATCTCTTTCAATGTCACTAAAAATATAAGTGACCTATTTTCATAATCCAATCCGATTTGAACCCGATCATACACTGATCAATAAACAATTGCTCTCACCACGTCATACTTTAGCAAGAGCACCACCGCCCCCGCGCCACGCCCCCAAGGCGCTTTATTACTAGATTATTTGACAAAGATCGTCAACCCAAATCCATGTGATGCTCCGGAGCGGATGTTCTGGAACGTGTTAAAATGTAGGGCGTGTTGACCACCCTCAGTGACAGGTCATGTCTGTTTGGTAACGTAAAGCGATTAGGGCGCCACCAAAACACAATTGCGCACTGTTAAGTAGCTTTAAATAAATTTCCACGCTAATTTATCCAACACATTTACCCGCCACCTGCAAGAACCCAGCGAATGCGTCACTGGGGACCTGTGTCCATCTCTCGGCACAGTATTCAAACATGCCCAGGATGACTTGACCCGACACAGCGATGACCTCCAAATGGTTTCGGAACGGCTGGACAGCGAGCACAGCCTCGGTCGTGATGTCACCTGTATTTATAAGGACGGTGTTTAATTTAAGAAGAAACACTGTCACTCCCCCACCCCCTTCCCCACTTTCCACCACACACAAAAAATGTGTTGCACAGAGGTTTTAGGTGGATTGGCTGGAGGGATTACGCGCTGAGATATATTTAATGTTGTTTCGTGTTTTTCCGCCCTAAAAAAAAAATCAATGAACGAGTGTGTATTATTGAATTTTTAATTGAAATGATATCTGACGCCAAAAGGGATGTCAATATTGCTATTGTAAATTTGAATAAACGAAGGACTGCGTTCAAGCTGTGTGAAGGAAATAGTAGAACAAGCCGATCACTCAATCTTTTTACTAGTTTCTATTTCTTGTATTTTCATTTGTCCCGTCTGCCGACGAAGGCTCTTCGCCGAAACGTTCTTCTCTTATTGCCCTGTCTTTCGATTCAAGCCTCCACGCACCTTGCTCTACTACTACTTCACTGCATTGTTGATTGCAGATTTACCAAGCTTTAAAGAAGCCCTCAAACTCCCAGCGTTCACGACAGACATGCTGCCTCTACTCCAGGTGTTTCCTTTGTGGTGTAAGTTGGACCGTAACATGGCATCAGCTACAAGGTTACCTGAAGGGGAAAAAATGTTTTCATTGAATTGAAATGGAGGGACTATCCAATATATTACGTACGCGTTAAATAAATATATTTACACTTGACATTTTTTTTACTTACATTTAAATTATAATGTCATTTACTTAATTGCAAATAGAAAATGTCATGTATATTGAACAACAGCAATCCCATTACCCAGATTGCATTCTGTCGTCCTGCACTCGACCCGGTCAGCCAAGAGGTCGACGTAGGTCTGACCCACCACTTTAGTCTTTTGCTTCTCGATGTCTGGCTGGTAACGTGCGATCATCGACAAGGTCTCCGGGTCTGAAGAGAGAAGTGAAATATTTTTTTTTTGTACACAGCCTTTATAACTTAATCAACTAATAACACTTCTTTAGTCTTGGCCATATTTAATTTCAATAACTGATCTCTCGCATATTCAAAATGTTTGTAGATTATTATAGTAACAAAACTCTGATGGGTCAAACAAATGACGTATCCATAGAATAGAGGAGGAAATGTGTTTTTAAAAGGGGAGGCAATGGTGTAGTCTTAAAATCTAACACTTTTCCAAGGGTTGCTGCTCTTAGATTTGTTACGTGAAGATGGACTCTACTCATAAGTATATCCCTACCTCTCTATATTCTAAACAATTATAGCCCTACTTCTCTACATTCTAAATTCTAAGCATATCCCTACCGCTATATATTCTAAACAATAATATTTCTCTCTATATACTAAACGTTTAAATCAGTTTTCAAATCCCACTCTAACTTTGTTGCACCGAGTCACTCTAACATTGTTTCACCGAGTCACTCTAACCTTGTTGCACCGAGTTATCCAGCAGTATGGGGTTTCCCCGCCATGACGTCACGTTGCCCTCACCGTCAAACGTCACGTGCAGCTCGCCCAGATATTTCCCATAAGCGTAGCCTTGGACGACAAGAACCACGTTACCACTGTCTGACGTGACCACGGTCGGGTATACGCCTTCGGCCTCCTCACTGGATGGCAGGGAACCTGTCGTCAGACGTACGGTCCGTGTCAAGAATGTCTCTTACACAGTGGAACACACCATTCTTGGGACACGTTGCTGACCACAAGTAATATACGAAATGCGGAACACCTTTTCTAAGTTTACCTTCCTTACAATGGATTTATTTATTTCCAAGAAAGTTTGTCTTTAAAAGAGGAACGAGTTTCATTATTTTTCTTTTTAGTCTGTCTCAATTTACCAGCGTGCTCCCTCAGCGTTTATCAAATCGAAATGCTCACTAATTAAGTGATTTTAGATTTCTGGCCTTTAAATTGTTATAACTTTCCAATGTTGTATGGTTTAACAAATATGTATTTATTTATGTGTTGTACAATGTCATCAAAAATATTTCCATTTATTTTGATAAATAATGAATCTTCTCTTATCTTAAGGAGGGGGTATTAATAAAATATTAGAGTAGATAAAATGAGTTACCTAAATTATTACGAATTTGACCTAAAAATGTCCAGCCTACAACCCAATGTCCAGCCTACATCCCAGTGTCCAGCTTCAACGCATTGTCCAGCCTACATCCCAATGTCTAGCTTTCAACCCAATGTCCAGCCTACATCCCTATGTCCAGCCTACAGCCCAGTGTCCCGCTTCAACGCAGTGCCCAGCCCGGTGCTAATGCTGCATCCTAATAACCAGCCTACCATTGTAAAGGAAAGTATTGCTGTGACCACCCACGATGACGTCAACATTTCTTAGACGCCTGGCAAGGTTAACGTCCATAAGGAATCCCGCGTGTCCGACAGCGATGATCTTATTGACTCCCTGCTGAGTGAGCCGGTCGACCTCCGCCTGAACTGCTTCAAGCTCTTCGGTAAATGTAACTGTACCTGGATGGCCATTGATGTTACAATTTAAATCTAATGACACACCTTACGTATAGGAGCCAGAATGATCAATTCATTGATCGTGGGCCCTTAAAATAAAGAAGAAGAAGAAGAAGAAGTTTCATTTTTATCATTTATTGTTAAATCACCGTGTGCGATCTCAAAGAATCTAACGTACAAATAGTCACAAATGTACCACAGTTTGAAAATCCCTACATTCATTGCATTTCCGTTTTTGTGCCATCATCACTCAACTTCTTAAAGATAAAATTGATGGAAATAAGCAGGATTGTAAATTTAAGTAAATCTTTCAGTTGTTAAAGTTGAACACTGTCATACCCTTTACATTATCACATCTTGACTTACATTATCAAATCCAGTCTTACATGATCACATACAGGCTTACATTGTCACATTCTGACTTACATTCTCATACTCTGTCTTCATTTCCCAAACCCAAGCCCAAGCCCTGGTCTTATTTTTCTTCAGCCAACTTAACCGACACCAGATTTACACGACATTTCACTTACCCACACCGGGTAGATATGACATTTCATTTACCCACATCAGATATATATGACATTTCACTTACCCACACCAGATATATATGACATTTCACTTACCCACGCCAGATATATATGACATTTCATTTACCCATACCAGATATATATATATGACATTTCATTTACCCACACCAGATATATATGACATTTCACTTACCCACACCAGATATATATGACATTTCACTTACCCACACCAGATATATATGACATTTCACTTACCCACACCAGATATATATGACATTTCACTTACCCACACCAGATATATATGACATTTCACTTACCCACACCAGATATATATGACATTTCACTTACCCACACCAGATATATATGACATTTCACTTACCCACACCAGATATATATGACATTTCACTTACCCACACCAGATATATATGACATTTCACTTACCCACACCAGATATATATGACATTTCACTTACCCACACCAGATATATATGACATTTCACTTACCCACACCAGATATATATGACATTTCACTTACCCACACCAGATATATATGACATTTCACTTACCCACACCAGATATATATGACATTTCACTTACCCACACCAGATATATATGACATTTCACTTACCCACACCAGATATATATGACATTTCACTTACCCACACCAGATATATATGACATTTCACTTACCCACACCAGATATATATGACATTTCACTTACCCACACCAGATATATATGACATTTCACTTACCCACACCAGATATATATGACATTTCACTTACCCACACCAGATATATATGACATTTCACTTACCCACACCAGATATATATGACATTTCACTTACCCACACCAGATATATATGACATTTCACTTACCCACACCAGATATATATGACATTTCACTTACCCACACCAGATATATATATGACATTTCACTTACCCACACCGGGTATATATGACATTTCACTTACTCACACCTGATATATATGACATTTCATTTACCCACACCAGATATATATGACATTTCACTTACCCACACCAGATATATATGACATTTCACTTACCCACACCAGATATATATGACATTTCACTTACCCACACCAGATATATATGACATTTCACTTACCCACGCCAGATATATATGACATTTCATTTACCCACACCAGATATATATGACATTTCACTTACCCACACCAGATATATATGACATTTCACTTAACCACAACAGATATATATGACATTTCATTTACCCACGCCAGATATATATGACATTTCACTTACCCACACCGGGTATATGATATTTCATTTACCCATGCCAGATATATATTACATTTCATTTACCCATACCAGATATATATGACGTTTCACTTACCCACACCAGATATATATGACATTTCACTTACCCACACCAAATATATATGAAATTTCACTTACCCACACCGGGTATATGATATTTCATTTACCCACGCCAGATATATATGACATTTCACTTACCCACACCGGGTATATGATATTTCATTTACCCATGCCAGATATATATGACATTTCATTTACCCATACCAGATATATATGGCATTTCACTTACCCACACCAGATATATATGACATTTCACTTACCCACACCAGATATATATGACATTTCACTTACCCACACCAGATATATATGACATTTCACTTACCCACACCTGATATATATGACATTTCACTTACCCACACCAGATATATATGACATTTCACTTACCCACACCAGATATATATGACATTTCACTTACCCACGCCAGATATATATGACATTTCATTTACCCATACCAGATATATATATATGACATTTCATTTACCCACACCAGATATATATGACATTTCACTTACCCACACCAGATATATATGACATTTCACTTACCCACGCCAGATATATATGACATTTCATTTACCCACACCAGATATATATGACATTTCACTTACCCACACCTGATATATATATGACATTTCACTTACCCACACCAGATATATATGACATTTCACTTACCCACGCCAGATATATGACATTTCACTTACCCACACCAGATATATATGACATTTCACTTACCCACGCCAGATATATATGACATTTCATTTACCCATACCAGATATATAAATATGACATTTCATTTACCCACACCGGGTATATATGACATTTCACTTACTCACACCAGATATATATGATATTTCACTTACCCACACCAGATATATTTGACATTTCACTTACCCACACCAGATATATATGAAATTGCGGTCGTAGTATACCCCACCAAAGCAATCCTCTGGCCATTAACAATTCGTATGGTCGATTTCTTGATGACGTCTCTCAGCTCAGGTGTGTTAGTCAAGTTCATGTTGCTGGACAGCAAGGGAAACGTCACATTCCTAGCGAAATGTTCCAGTCCAGCGATCCCCTTAAAAAACTCGTGATGTCCGATCGCCTGGAGAAAAAGTCAGGTTAAAGGTATAATATGTCACATTTATCTAAAAGACAAATCCCTCACTACGGGGAAACCATGTACACTAATATTATTTTTTTTAATGTCAAGATCGTATACACGCTACTCACACGGGAAGATTTTGGTCTAAGCCAGAGGTTCCCAAAGTGATCTATATTGACCCCTAGGGGTCCATGTCAGCGGAAAAAAAATCACTATCAGATAAGCAGGGGGGTCTACCCAAAACCGATAAAACATGGCAAGTGGTCTACGAGTCCTTTGGGGATCTCTGGTCTAAGCAATAGAACCGAATGTTTTTAGATCTAAGGCCTGAACAATGCCTTTTTAATTTTCCCCTTTTTATAAAACGAATGTATTCTAAAACAGGCGCCCATATAATAAAATAGAGGATGGCAATTGTACAATGTCGTGATGACATAACAAAATGTCTAGTGCCTTTCTAAAATAGATAATGCCGTACTAAAATAGATAATGACATAGGCTACTTATGTAATATTTACAAAATGGCTTATTGTTACGAGTCCCGTCAAAGAATCCACCAGGGATTGGACGCTCAACCTAACAAACAGAGTTGTCCCCATTCGAAAGAGGAATCCAGGCCGCATGTTTTCAAATATCTTACCATGGCGACGCAGCCGTCAACCGTCTTGCCATGGCGTCGTAGCTGTCAACCGTCTTACCATGGCGTCGTAGCCGTCAACCGACTTGCCATGGCGTCGTAGCCGTCAACCGTCTAACCATGGCGTCGTAGCCGTCAACCGTCTTGCCATGGCGTCGTAGCCGTCAACCGTCTTGCTATGGCGTCGTAGCCGTCAACCGTCTTGCCATGGCGTCGTAGTTGTCAACCGTCTTGCCATGGCGTCGTAGCCGTCAACCGTCTTGCCATGGCGTCGTAGTTGTCGAATGTCTTACAATGGCGTCGTAGCCATCATAATTCTTACCATAGCATCATATCCGATGTGATTCATAAACTCGGCGGTCACCAGGCCACCAAACGTATAGAACCACAGTGTCCCTTGGAACTGACCGCCAGCGTCCAGTAGTAGTGTCTGGTCGCCATATCTGGCCCTTAACGTCTTTACCTGAAAAGATTAGACACCATTTTCAACAAAAACTCTACATTCTCACGAGGGAAGTGGATCTCTGGTGGCATACATCTATATTCTTTTTTTATAAAGGACATTGATCTTATAAAGTTCTTAAGCCTAAATCGAAAGGAAATGGAATGGTTTCCCCAAACCCTCTGTATGTAGTTTAGGCGTTCATAAGACTTTTTTTTTCGGGAACCGTGAGGCCAATTTAATGAATACGGCATGAACCTATTTTTAGTCTTTTTTAAAAATCTTTTCAACGCTTATAAGAGTGAAAATCTATCAAAATGTGTGGAAAATACCCAAAACTATTTAGAAATATGTGTAGTTCTGATTCTGATAGACTACATTGCTGCAACCAAGTACTGTCCTATGTGCAACGGTTGGGGAAGTGATGCGGCCATCCTAACGCCTCCTAGCGGGTGCCGGGGCAGCCTTGAAACTCTCGATTGATGTCGAGTCCACGGCGGCACTGTTCATTAGGTTCCATGCGGTTATTGTTCGTAAGAAGAATGATTGTTTATATTGAGCTGTGTTAATCTAAAATAAAACTGAAATGACATGTCTGCCATTAAAGATGCATTGTATATTGACCACGTCTTGTTTTGTCAGCACCCACAGAAGCCGTGTACAAATTATAAATACACAAGCATACTTTATTAAGGTGTCTTAATATGTAATATGACATAAATTACTTCACGATAATATCAAGTGTATTTTTAATAAGTGTCTTAGCATACTGATATATTTTTATTTAATTTAATAAGTCATCATTTAGAAATACAACATTAACATTTCAAATGAAGTTTGTGAATATTTTTTTGGGTCTAATTCAAAAGTAAGGGGAAAAATGGACACTTGCTGCTTGTTTGCAAAGTCGATGAATTTTGTATATGAATTCTCAAGTAAGATAGGCTCTCTTTTGTTTTTGGTGAACTTACCATCGTACGCATTCGAGCTGCGCCACCAAAGCAGTTGCCGGCTGCAGAGAGATCCTCGGAACATGGTACACTGTGTCTAAAAATAAACGTCAAATGTTTTGTTTCAACCTGGAGATTACTGTTAAGAATTTGGTTTTGAAAATTAAAAAAAACAATTTAAAAAAAGCAAACAATATCGACACATTAAATACAATTATGTAGCAATTTACAGCAAAGTAATTTCTATTTGATATAGTTTATACACTCACTTGTCTGTTTGCTCTATTCTTGAATGGACATCATTTGTGTGAAGTATGGTCAGTCGGAACTCAGCTGACGTCATCACAACCAGTAACATTGCCAGGACCAATGATCCCGGAAGTTGTCTTTCATCCATCATACTTTTCCTTCTTAGCTAACTCTGATTTTTTTTTTAAATTGACAACTATGTGGTGTTAAGAATGCTTTCAAACTAATATAAAGACTTTTATCTTCTGTTCGAGTTTTTAAAGAGTGATATTATTATAATGGATTCCGTTTTTGTAACATCTATAGCAGCGGTTCTCAACTTGTTGAGTCGCGACCCCTTTGGGGGTCGAACGACCCTTACACAAGGGTTCGCCCAACACCATTGGAAAACACATATTTATGAAGTAGCAACGAAAATAATTTTATGTTGGGGGTTCCCCACAATATCAGAAACTGTATTAAAGGGTCGCGGCTTTAGGAAGGTCGAGAACCACTGATTTGTAGGTTCAGGAAATCGGCAAAATTGATAACAGTTGTTCAATGCAAGACATTACCGCCCCCCCACCCCTCTCCTGCAGAGATCATCAATGAATGTCGATTAACAATGAAAAGCAAGTCAGAATTTTTAAGTGGGTTTTTTATTACCTTTTCTCGGTGGCGTAGCTACAATGGTGCAGGTGGGGCCACCGCACCAGGGCCCGGAGCCAAAAGGGGCCCGAGGATATAAAAGTATAAAAGAAAAATATTAATTAAGATAAAGAAAAAAATCTCGCAACAGGGCCTTCGCAACTCTAGCTATGCCACTGGCTTCACTTAAGTACCCTACATGAGTTACACCACTGATAGTAAGTGGCCTACTCAAGGTTTGTGATGTAAACTTATTTAGCGGCGCTGCGTGTCCGGCTCCATTTTGACTAAATGCTATTCGGATGTCATTTGTTCTATTTTTTTTAAATTAAACTGAAGAATTAAGTTTACAAACACATAGTCCATTCAATTATCTTTCATTTGATACCTAATTTTGTCTTACAAACCCAACAATAATTTTTAAATATTTTTTAATAAACCCAAACTCCCCTTCTCGGACCCGGGTCCGAATAGCCGCAGCCAAAAAACAAATTTTGCCTGCCAAAAAATATTGAAATTTGTGTACCCAAAATGGTCTGTGAATTTTTGATGACATCGACGAGAATGCAACGCTTGCCACTATATCCCATCATCGATACACTGTGTTCAATGCTTACTGACTGGGTGCGATTGGGGGTATGCAGTAAATTTATATTGCAACCAGATGTTGGTGGTAAGTGATAAGTAACCAACACACGCAGGGTGGCAATCACTCAATAATGGCGCTATTTTTTTTTCTTGTCGAAAATGGGGCATACCGCGTTTTGAAAAATACGCTCTTAAAATGTTTAAAAGATTTCATGCCAATATTTGTAAAAATAGTGTTGAGCAACGGTTCCACAACTGCTAAACAAATGTTAAACCAATAGTTTAAAAAAACAACTGTTAAACAACACGACAATATAGCAACTGTTACTAAGGAAGAGTTTCCCCGAAGTCCTTTTTTGAAAAAAAAAAATGTTAAAAAAAAATAATTTCACCTTTCGTTTTACTTATGTGATGGAAAAACCTCGACTGTTGGCCGAATCATGACGCTGCAACGCGAATGCCGTGGTCTTTCATCAAAGCCGTACACTGCATCGCCCACAACATCAACCTTTCCGTTGATTCGGTTGTACTCTTGATCCCTCCGGAGAGGAAATGCCTCGTTACATCACGTGTTCATTCAGACTCGCCGAACTCCCAGCAACACAAACCGTTTGCAGGTTGAATATTTTATCAACGGGGTGTTGTTTCCAGAATATGTCATGAACCACGTTATGCTCACAATGGGAATAATCCGGAAGTCTTTGTTCCCCCCCCCATGACGTGATCTGCGATGTGGCTCTCTTATAAAATTTGTCACGATGAGATTTAATAATAAATAAGTTGCTTATCTCCCTCTCTCTCTCTTATTATGTCGTCGCAAATTTTGTTTAATGGCATGCAAATAAATGTTTAATGATGGATAACTGCAGCGGAATACGTCCACCCTTACTAAAGTGTGGGAACCTTTCATAAAAAATGGGGTCGGGGTCGGGGTGGGGGTGGCACACGCGCTTGGTTTAAATAGATATACAATTTTAATTGTTACCTCTGTAAGTGATGGCGAATGCAAAGTATGACAAACAGAGCGAGGATAGTATACATGTTGTGTAATCTGGCGGCTGAAATGTACAAACAAAACAAACCGAAGAAGTTGTGTTCCATGAGAGCATCCATTTAGTTCATGCCCAGTAAGAGCGTCCATTTAGTTCATGCCCAGTAAGAGCGTCCATTTAGTTCATGCCCAGTAAGGGCATCCATTTAGTTCATGCCCAGTAAGAGCGTCCATTTAGTTCATGCCCAGTAAGAGCATCCATTTAGTTCATGCCCAGTAAGAGCGTCCATTTAGTTCATGCCCAGTAAGAGCATCCATTTAGTTCATGACCAGTAAGAGCGTCCATTTAGTTCATGCCCAGTAAGAGCGTCCATTTAGTTCATGCCCAGTAAGATCATTCATCTAGTTCATGCCCAGTAAGATCATTCATCTAGTTCATGCCCAGTAAGATCATTCATCTACTTCATGCCCAGTAAGAGCATCCATTTAATTCATGCCCAGTAAGATCATTCATCTAGTTCATGCCCAGTAAGATCATTCATCTAGTTCATGCCCAGTAAGAGCATCCATTTAATTTATGCCCAGTAAGAGCTTCCATTTAGTTCATGCCCAGTAAGATCATTCAACTAGTTCATGCCCAGTAAGATCATTCATCTAGTTTATGCCCTGTAAGAGCATCCATTTAGTTCATGCCCTGTAAGAGCATTCATCTAGTTCATGCCCAGTAAGATCATTCATCTAGTTCATGCTCTGTAAGAGCATCCATTTAGTTCATGCCCTGTAAGAGCATTCATCTAGTTCATGCCCTGTAAGAGCATTCATCTAGTTCATGCCCTGTAAGATCATTCATCTAGTTCATGCCCTGTAAGAGCATCCATTTAGTTCATGCCCTGTAAGAGCATCCATTTAGTTTTTTCATCCGGTGCATTCATTATGTGCATTCATTTTATACATCCGCCCCGTGCATCCATTTTGGGCATCATATATGTGGATATATTATTATATCCGTTATGAAGATATCTCCTATGCATCGGTTCTATCTATTTTATGCATCCATGTAGTGTATTCACTCTTTGCATCCATAGTGTGCATCAAAAGGGGCACTGATTATGTGCTTCCGTTCGGTGAAATACTCTATACATCCCTTCTGTGTATCTATTTTTCGTATATATTGTGTTTACGTATTTTCGTATATATTGTGTTTGTGTATTTTTCGTATCTATTGTTCGCATTTATTTTTTTAAAGAATTTCTCTCTACTAAAGAAACTATGGGGCTTGTAAGATTGTAGCATAATTATTTTGTTTGTCACACTTGACCCTCTCGCTACGGTCTATCGCATCGACCTCGTTCAGAGAATGACGATAGAATGCGGGTAGAGGCTTTCGGGTTTAAAGGGGGGGGGGGGGTTCGGATAAGGGGGTTAGGAATTGTGATTTTAAAAAGAAACACCCCTTCCGTTTCCAAAACCCAAACACTTGACCCTCTCGCTACGGTCTATCGCATCGACCTCGTTCAGAGAATGACGATAGAATGCGGGTAGAGGCTTTCGGGTTTAAAGGGGGGGGGGGGTGTTCGTATAAGGGGATTAGACATTGTGATTTTAAAAAGAAACACCCCTTCCGTTTCCAATACCCAAAGTGACCCTAACGGTGCTATCTTTGTGAGGGGGTTAGCGGCATACGGCGATTAGACTCGGAGCAACTTCAACGGACCAGTTTTGTGCACTGCTAATGAGTTAAGTAGCATTACTCGGGGCGCGTTTGTAAGCATTTTTAAAATAGTAATTAACTAGTCATAGCCCGCCAAACATTGGCGGCAGCAATGCGTGAACTTCCAATCATACACTTAAGTTACTTGACAAAACATGAACTACAGTAACGCACATTTAAGATTCCCAATATTTGCTACACCCCTTCCCCCATGATAGGTCACAGCACACTTTTTATTTCACGTCCATGAACTTTATTAATATTCTCATGTCCACACCACTTTTAAACCGAATATTTTTTTACACAATACTTAAATTGAGACGATTTCATTTCCGAAAAGAAATTATTACGCATCATACGCAATCGCGTTATTTAAAAAAAATATATATCATATATAGCTTATTTATCGGGAATTATATTTTGCGTGCTAGTGAACTCATTATTGAACCACACACTGGCGTAGGGGCCGTCCATAAAGTACGTCACACTATTTTTGACCATTTTTACCCCCCCTCTCCCCCCCTGTCACAAACTGTCACAAATCTCGGACACCCCCCCCTAAAGTACGTCACACTTTCGAACAATTTTTTTTTTCGTAACACCTAATTAAAATTTAATCTAAATCACACTTCACTATTAAACTGTTTTAAAATATAAAATTTCCGCTTTCTATTGTTTATAATATTTTCTTTTTTTTTGTGCATCTATTTAGTTGCCAGTAAAGAATCTAAAAACACTAACATAATGGGAGTACTATCAGAACGATTGCAAAGTTTCAAACTCCCAACAAACAAACAAATTCTGTAATATCAAACATGTGACTCGTCGTTTGACAAAACCTCTGAACCTTGGGTTAACAAAATATCCGATCCTTGGGCTAAAAATGTGACACGTGGGCTAAACATGTGACACGTGGGCTAAACTTGTGACACGTGGGCTAACCAAACATCGGATCCATGGGTTACCAAAATAGATGAGCAGGGGGGGGGTGGGGGTTAAACTGTGTATTTCATTGGTTGTGTTTCCAATGGCATAATCTTCCTGACAAACTCGCACCTGTCACATACCCACTGCAGTGGTTCTGACAAACTCGCACCTGTCACATACTCCACTGCAGTGGTTCTGACAAACTCGCACCTGTCACATACCCCACTGCAGTGGTTCTGACAAACTCGCACCTGTCACATACCCACTACAGTGGTTCTGACAAACACAGGGCTGTCCTGAACCCACTGCAGTGGTTCTGACAAACACAGGGCTGTCCTGAACCCACTGCAGTGGTTCTGACAAACACAGGGCTGGTTATACCTGGGCCCCACTGCAGCATTTCTAATTCACACCTGCTTATACCTTGGCAGTGATTCAAGTAAACTCACACCTGGTTATACCTTGGCAGTGATTCTGGAAAATTCACACCTGGTTATACCTAGGCGGTGATTCTGGCAAACTCACACCTGGTTATACCTGGGCAGTGATTCTGGCAAACTCACACCTGGTTATACCTGGGCAGTGATTCTGACAAACACTCCTGGTTACGCCTGGGCAAAGTCAACCAGTATTTCATTGGGGGTCAAAGTTCAGGAAGACTAAATTTAAATCAAAGTATCGGGACTTTTTTTTAATGTCAAAAGTCAAAAGTTCAACAGAAAAAAGAAACGAAGGGAACAAATGATGACTGTTTTGAATATATTAAAAAAATGCTCATCATCATTAATGTATAAGCTTGACATTAATAAGGCTATACAGTATATCCTTTAAATATACCACTCAATGTTACAATGACTGGGTTCATACAATAGTAATACATTGGAGGACGTTTTATTTGAATGATAACATTAGTTAAGTTGAGACAATATCGCTGTACAAACTGCGTGTTGAAATAACAAAGTCATGGTGTAAAACAAGACCCAGACCTAAAAATAATCACAATAATCTGGTGCAACCATAAGATAAAAATAAAACAATTTAATTTGCATATGTCCACATGGTGTAGTTGGACAAGAGCATCTACTGTAAGGCCGTATACTCTTAGCAGTGGTTCTTAACGTGTCTGGCGGGGCACACCACCCCGGTGTGATCTAGGCGTACCCGTAATTTCCTTCAGACTTTGTGATACTGCTGGAGAAAGTTATTCAAATCGTTTCACTTATTTATTTTTTTGTAAGAAAAAGAGGAAACCCATAAACAATTTTTAAACTTGTTTTAAGCTGTGAATGCAAGCCTACAACACTCTGATCGGGGAAGGCTAACCTACAAACAACTGATTGGGGACTGCTCACCTACAAACAACTGATCGGGGAAGGCTAACCTACAAACAACTGATTGGAGACTGCTCACCTACAAACAACTGATCGGGGAAGGCTAACCTAAAAACAACTTATTGGGGACTGCTCACCTACAAACAACTGATTGGGTAAGGCTAAACTATAAACAACTGATTGGGGAAGGCTAAACTATAAACAACTGATTGGGGACTGCTCACCTACAAACAACTGATTGGGGAAGGCTAAACTATAAACAACTGATTGGGGAAGGCTAAACTATAAACAATAAATTGGGGAAGGCTAAACTATAAACAACTGATTGGGGAAGGCTTTACTATAAACAACTGATTGGGGAAGGCTAACCTATAAACAACTGATTGGGGAAGGCTAAACTATAAACAACTGATTGGGGACTGCTCACATACAAACAAATGATTGGGGAAGGCTAACCTTCAAACAACTGTTTGGGTGGAGCCTCTCTCATTGTTCGAAACCCGAATGTTCATTTGCCCCCACGCGAACTTACAACAGTGCTTGCTGCATCGAAAAAAAAAAGGCCAATCATGTTGAGAACCACTGGTTTATAATAATATATTTTCTACAGACCAATGTGTCAGGTGTTCTGCTTAAAAAGACCACATTTACGTTCGTTTGAGAACACTTTATGACACTGGAGCAAAACGTGAGGACCTTAATGTCCCGCGTGTTTGATTTGATTGACTTTATGTTAAGGGACACCACCGCTGACCTGGGGAGGGGGGGGATCACTGAATCCCCCACCCCCCACAAGTTATGAAATCACAAGGCGTTGAGTCCATTGACATTCTGTCCGACAAGCAAGCCATCTAAAAGAAAGGCTATACATTCAAACAGCACGACATTTAACCAATAGTATACATAATACATAATGCATAATACAGAGTTCTTGTTAAAAAGATTCCTTGGCATATAATGGAATACATTTGTCAATAGTTCATGTGGATTTCAAGAGTGATTGTCAACACTATAACAAAATGATGTAAAATGATATATAACAGGCTTAGGGTGGGGCACGGCGCTATATAAAAACCACCTGAGTAATAATAATAATAATAATATTCTAAGATATTTGTCAACTGTGACTACAACTTGTTAGCATGCAACATTGCCGCCCAGACGCCAATATAATGAACTCAAATACAAATAAAGATTTGTTTCAATCCTCCGCTTAGCCGCTAATAAAACCGTTGAACACCTACAGCGGCATGTTACCGGTGAACACCTACAGCGGCATGTTACCTGTGAACACCTACAGCGGCATGTTACTGGTGAACACCTACAGCGGCATGTTACTGGTGAACACCTACAGCGGCATGTTACTGGTGAACACCTACAGCGGCATGTTACAGGTGAACACCTACAGCGGCATGTTACTGGTGAACACCTACAGCGGCATGTTACTGGTGAACACCTACAGCGGCATGTTACTGGTACACACACTTGATCCGTTTCTCACAAATAAGATTTCTATTTGTAATAGCGTTGTGGCATTCAGCACCGATAGGTTGACCATGACACTAATCACCGAATGTCAGCGTGTGTGCTCTAATGAAACACAGCTCACACATGTATCTATTTTTAGCTTTTGATTTTGATTGATGTAATAATTTCGTGAACTTAGCTTTACTGATTTATTTTTTAAAGGTAAAATTGTGTATTTAAGTAAAAAAACAAACTGTTGACACTAACCTGGGGATTAAAATGACCCCCCCCCCCTAACCCAATAAAATCAGGAGCTTTGCATATCAGATCTACACCAGCAACTTTTTAACGACAACAAAGATTTAATTTTTCAGTTTTAAACACGGCCAGCTGTACCATCGTAAATACGCAATAATGACACCGAGTTCTGTACATTATTCTCAGCAAATATATCATCTTACCACAATATCCATTGGGTACTTATGAAGTCACAAATATAAGAAATACTTCTCTGTTGAACAGTTTAAGAGAATCTCTTTTGTAGCACTTTTCGATCCAGAAAATTGGAGTCACAGAAAATTAGAGAGACAAAAAAATTGGAGCCACCGAAAATTGGATAGACAGAAAATTAGAGAGACTGAAAATTAGAGCCACAGAATTAAGCATTGAGACAACTTGAATAAATCATGCAACGAAAACCATGATAAACAAACTAGGTCACGTGACTCCAATTTTTCATCAAATGAAGTCAGAGCAACAATCATTGAGTCAGAACAACAGTTATAGAGTCAGAGCTACATTCACGGAGTCAGAGCTACACTCATGGAGTCAGAGCAACAATCATGGAGTCAGAGCTACAGTCATGGAGTCACAGCTACTGTCATGGAGTCAGAGCTACAGTCATGGAGTCAGAGCTACAGTCATAAAACGGCCATCATCAGCGCTGCCCACATTGAAGTGAAAGTTTCAGTTTTGTGAATGGTAAAAGGCTACTATCACAGCTGCTACAAGTATAAATGCTGGTGACGTGTACACAACAGCACCGCCCTTCACGCAGGCATTGTCCTCTGTGCCAGGTTTGAGATGCCTGATCCTGCCCTCAAGACCTGTTGTGATTGGACTAAACCTTTGGATGTGCTCCATCATGATGTCAGTGTCCAGGCTCTCTGAAACGGTTCAAACGTACCGCTGTATAGTTGTATACAAACTATTGTTTAACTGAACAAGTAGGTGGCCCCCAGTGGTTAATAAGCTTCTCGTATCTCTTTAAGTAACGTGTACAGAGATTTTATAAAAGGTTTTTCTATTAAAGGTGTCTGTGTTGTTGTAATATTGGTGTCTAAGTTGGTGGTAATATAGATGTCCAAGTTGGTGGTATTATACGTGTCTGAGTTGGTGGTAATATTGGTGTCTGAATTGGTGGTAATATTGGTGTCTGAGTTGTGGTAATATCGGTGTCTGAGTTGATGATAATATAGATGTCTAAGTTGGTGGTAATATTGGTGTCTGAGTTGTGGTAATATAGGTGTCTGAGTTGATGGTAATATGGATGTCTAAGTTGGTGATAATATAGATTTTTAGTTGGTGGTAATATTGGTGTCTGAGTTGGTGGTAATATAGAAGTCAAATACCCAGGAGCAATAGTCTCAGAAGAAGGCTCCAAGCCCGAACTGATGTCCAGGATTGCGCAGACTACAACAGCACTAAAGAGGCTCAAGAAAATATGGAAGGACAAAAATATAGCCCCCAGCACCAAAATCAGGCTGATGCGCTCATTAGTCCTCTCCATTTTCCTGTATGCCTGTGAATCCTGGACATTGACAGCAGATCTTGAAAGGAAAATAAAGGCGATGGAGATGAGATGCTTCAGAAGCATTTTTGGCATCTGCTAGAGGGACCATATCTCCAATGATACAATGAAATGGTTCGTCAGGCAATTGTGGAGTACGATGACCAACTGGTGACTGTGAAAAAACGCAAACTACAATGGTACGGCCACGTAACAAGGAAACAAGGGCTGGTCAAAGAAGTATTGCAGGGCACCACAAGAGGAGGGAGAAGAAGAGGAAGACAAAGAAAAAGATGGGAGGATAACATCAATAAGTGGACAGGACTAACACTGGACGATGCTGTGCGTAGTGCAGAAGACAGAGACTAATGGAGGAGGATAGTTCACATGTCATCTGTGGCGCCCCAACGGTCCAAGGACTAAGGTACATGATGATGATGATGAAGTTGGTGGTAATATAGGTTTCTGAGTTGATGGTAATATAGATGTCTAAATTGGTGGTAATATAGGTGTCTGAGTTGATGGTAATATAGATGTCTAAGTTGGTGGTAATATAGGTGTCTGAGTTGATGGTAATATAGATGTCTAAGTTGGTGGTAATATAGGTGTCTGAGTTGATGGTAATATAGATGTCTAAGTTGGTGGTAATATAGGTGTCTGAGTTGATGGTAATATAGATGTCTAAGTTGGTGGTAATATAGGTGTCTGAGTTGATGGTAATATAGATGTCTAAGTTGGTGGTAATATAGGTGTCTGAGTTGATGGTAATATAGATGTCTAAGTTGGTGGTAATATAGGTGTCTGAGTTGATGGTAATATAGATGTCTAAGTTGGTGGTAATATAGGTGTCAATAAAAGTCCATAAAAATGTTCACCCAATCAGAAGCTAAACTTATTTTTTTATGAAAATTTTTTAAACATAGTTTTGTCTTTGTTCAAATGGCCATTATTTAAATATATGCTCTGAGAATTTGAGCTAGTTCATACTGTTATTACGATTAAAGGAATTTCGATAGTGAGGCCAGGAAGAGTCATCAAACATAAATCAAAGCAAAGAACTACGTCAAACTTAAGGGGTTAACACAAGCATAACAATGATTCACCATAAGTTTTTAGTCCATGATTCACCATTGGCTTTTTAGTCTATGATTCACCATAGGTTTTTAAGTCTATGATTCACCATAGGCTTTTTAGTCTATGATTCACCATAGTCTTTTTAGTCTATGATTCACCATTGGCTTTTTAGTCTATGATTCACCATAAGCTTATTGAGTCTATGATTCACCATATGATTTTAAGTCTATGATTCATCATAGGATTTTTAGTCTATGATTCACCATAGGCTTATTGAGTCTATGATTCACCATAGGCTTATTGAGTCTATGATTCACCATAGGCTTATTAGGTCTATGATTCACCATAAGCGTGTCGAGTCTATGTACCTTTTGGTAGACGCCTTAATATCTTGTCCGGAAACATGCTGAAGCCATCTCCGCCGCTGATGATGTAACTACTGGCTACTAGTCTGTAACTCCTGCCCATCATGATCGGCTCCAACTTGGGTACGCCGCACTTGGTACATGTCACCAGGATCTCCACGACCCTTGACCCCACGGGTCTGCTTATGTCATAGGTCACTTGTAGTCCTGAGATTGGACAAAAAGAAAGAGCTGTTTAAATTAAAAAGGTCTTTTGAGGGACACAATCAGTTTTTACAAAAATGTTATCTTCATTAGTACATTAGTGTTACCCTAATACTGACAGTCTTTGTGAAAGTGGTGCAGACTGCTACCCTAACACTGACAGTCTTTATGACAGTGGTGCAGACTGTTACCCTAACACTCACAGTCTTTGTGACAATGGTGTAGACTGTTACCCTGGTAATGACAGTCTTTGTGACAGCAGTACAGATTGTTAATCCAATACCGAAAGCCTCTGTGACAGTGCTACAGATGTTATCTGAGGCATGCTTGCAAATTTCCTTACATGTTTACGTGGATTACTTATGATATTTATGGAAGCCAAGAATGGTGCATCTTCCGCCCAAGTTGTCAATGGTGGATTCTGCGCATGGCGACACACAATACACTGCCCAATAATGAGTTTATGGTACTTGCCATGCACTGATGTGTTTATGTTTAATGAAATGTATTTTATGGACAAGACCAAAACGCCTTATTGTTAAAATATCTTTACAATAACATACGATTTTGGGCTTATTTTATTTTATATGAGAATCAGCTTATTTCATGATGGATTCTTTTTTTAAAGCAATGATGAGCAGGAAGCTATCGTGACACTTTGTAATGGAATACGTGTCGCTATGTGTGTGTGTGTGTGTGTGTGTGTCCGTCCTATTGAGAGTATTCTTTAAACTCTCATAGGATTTCATGATGTTATGTCCTTATGTCTTTAGAGTGAATATCTTTTTAATTTTTTTTGTATGTTTGAATTTTGTTTTTAAAATTCTTCAAGTACCATATGTTTAGTGTATAGTTTTTGTTTATTTGATTTTGTTGTTGTTGTTTTCTAGTAAAACGATTTCTGCTTTTTACCATCGGATTAAAAAATCTACTAAAGTATGCTACTGATAATAAATTACATTAATTGTTTTTTTTGTCTTTTGTTGTTGTTTTTTTTTAAATTTAATAGATACTTCGCCTTTTACACGGATGAGAATTATTTGAAACTGAAGACTTTCATGTTACGAAAAAAGTTTCAATCCTATTGTTGCGAACCTGCCACCTGCAAAAATCCACCAAATGCGTCCTCGGAGACCTCTGTCCATTTCTCAGCGCAGTACTCGAACACGTCCTTGAGGGTCTGCCCAGAGACTTCTATGATGTCCACCGTGTTGCGGAACGGCTGGACGAAGATCACGGTCTCGGTCGTGATGTTACCTGCGGGTTAGGGTTATGTGGGCCATGTCAAGGTGCAGAAAATATTCTCTAAAACAAATGTTTAAATTAGTATTCTCTAAAACAATCTTTCAATCCTTATTCTCTAAAACAATCTTTCAATCCTTATTCTCTGAAACAATATTTCAATCCTTATTCTCTGAAACAACCTTTCAATCCTTATTCTCTCAAAGAGTTTTTTTTTTTTTAATCCTTGCGTATTTAATTAATAATGAATACAAACTAATCTTTAGGAAATACCTTTTAACAATATAATTTAATAGATTTATTTTCTAAAAGAACACATGTGTACGATGTGGTGTAAGGATGTGTTGACGTAGTTTGGGAAGTCAAAAGTCCAGCAACATCAAGGGCTCGAAGAACGTCAGGGATTTCATCAGAAGAACATTCAAGATTAACCAGATAATAGTGAACTCTATGTTTCCCTAGTTATCAATTACCTCTCACCATAGAAGTCTTTTGTTTCATTAATTACCATTTACCTCTAACTATAAAAGTCTTTTGTTTCCTTACTTACCAGTTACTTCTAACTGTTAAAGTCTTTTGTTTCGTTAGTTACCATTTACCTCTAACTATAGAAGCCCTGAAACTGCCAGCATTTACAACGGACATGCTGACGTCACTCCAGGAGTCCTCGGTGTGTTGTAAGTTGTACCTCAACATGGCATCGGCCACGAGATTACCTGGATCAGTGAAATGGGAGGTATAGTCAGCTATAGATTAGGTGTACAAGAAAAAAAGGATAGTAACTGAATGACTGCGTTCAAGCTGTGTGAAGCAAATAGTAGAACAAGTTGTGTGAAGCAAATAGTAGAACAAGCTGTGTGAAGCAAATAGTAGAACAAGCTGTGTGAAGCAAATAGTAGAACAAGCTGTGTGAAGCAAATAGTAGAACAAGCTGTGTGAAGAAAATAGTAGAATAAGCTGTGTGAAGCAAATAGTAGAATAAGATGTGTGAAGCAAATAGTAGAACAAGCTGTGTGAAGCAAATAGTAGAACAAGCTGTGTGAAGCAAATAGTAGAATAAGCTGTGTGAAGCAAATAGTAGAACAAGCTGTGTGAAGCAAATAGTAGAATAAGCTGTGTGAAGCAAATAGTAGAATAAGCTGTGTGAAGCAAATAGTAGAAGAAGCTGTGTGCAAGCTTCAAATAGAAAAACACGACAATAAAAGAAGGAACGTATTGGCTAAGAGCCTTCCACGGGAGACAGAACACATAGAGAGACAGAAAGAGATATTTCTACTTCAAGCATCCACACACCATTGATAAAGAAAATTGACGCCATCTTAACCAAAAGCTACCTCGGTACACCGCTGTATCAATGATAGACGGAAGTTCGATGCTATACTTGACATAAAACAAAGATATTTTTAGATTCCTGGTTTATTGTCAACATATTTTTTTAAAGAGTAGCACCACAGTTAAAATGTTTGCCCTTACATTAAACTAAGCCATCCCATTACCTAGATTGCATTCTGTCGTCCTGCACTTGACCCGGTCAGCCAAGAGGTCGACGTAGGTCTGACCCACCACTTTAGTCTTTTGCTTCTCGATGTCTGGCTGGTAACGTGCGATCATTGACAAGGTCTCCGGGTCTGAAGGGAACAGTGAACCATAGTGTAATTGTTTTAAGATCTGAGGGGAACAGTGAACCATAGTGTAATTGTTTTAAGATCTGAGGGGAACAGTGAACCATAGTGTAATTGTTTCAAGATCTGAAGGGAACAGTGAACCATAGTGTAATTATTTTAAGATCTGAGGGGAACAGTGAACCATAACGTAATTGTTTCAAGATCTGAGGGGAACAGTGAACCATATGTAATTGTTTCAAGATCTGAGGGGAACAGTGAACCATAGTGTAATTGTTTTAAGATCTGAGGGGAACAGTGAACCATAGTGTAATCGTTTCAAGATCTGAGGGGAACAGTGAACCATAGTGTAATTGTTTTAAGATCTGAGGGGAACAGTGAACCATAACGTAATTGTTTCAAGATCTGAGGGGAACAGTGAACCATAGTGTAATTGTTTCAAGATCTGAGGGGAACAGTGAACCATAGTGTAATTGTTTCAAGATCTGAGGGGAACAGTGAACCATAGTGTAATTGTTTCAAGATCTGAGGGGAACAGTGAACCATAGTGTAATTGTTTCAAGATCTGAGGGGAACAGTGAACCATAGTGTAATTGTTTCAAGATCTGAGGGGAACAGTGAATCATAGTGTAATTGTTTCAAGATCTGAGGGGAACAGTGAACCATAGTGTAATTGTTTCAAGATCAGAGGGGAAAAGTGAACCATAGTGTATTTGTTTCAAGATCTGAGGGGAACAGTGAACCATAGTGTAATTGTTTCAAGATCTGAGGGGAACAGTGAACCATAGTGTAATTGTTTCAAGATCTGAGGGGAACAGTGAACCATAGTGTAATTGTTTCAAGATCTGAGGAGAACAGTGAACCATAGTGTAATTGTTTCAAGATCTGAGGGGAACAGTGAACCATAGTGTAATTATTTCAAGATCTGAGGGGAACAGTGAACCATAGTGTAATTGTTTCGACCTTGGTAACTTAACCTTGACAGCCAAATGATTAAGAATAGAATACTTGCATGTGCACTAAGCTGTCATGCGCAGTAAGCTTTCCTACAGTACGTTGTCATATATATTTGGTTATCATGTACATTTATTTATCATGTATAGTTAGTTATCATGTACAGTAAGTTATCATGTAGAGTACGTTATCATGTAGAGTAAGTTCACAAATCTGTTGTTGTTTTTTTTTAAATCCGTATACCATATACTTTTTGTTTAAGTCCTTCAAACTCTTCATTTTCCCATTCTTATGTGATACAAAAATTCTACAAATACCATGCATCATCTAGGCCCTGGGCCAGCGGTTCTCAACCTGTGGGTCGCGATCCCTTAGGGGGTCGAACAAATCTTTACACAGGGGTCGCCTAAGGCCATCGGAAAACACATAATTATGAAGTAGCAAACGAAACTGTTTGTTTTTTGTTTGGGGGGGTCACCACAACACGAGGAACTGTATTAAAGGGTCGCGGCATTAGGAAGGTGAGAACCACTGCCCTAGTCGCACATCCAGAGCAGGCTCAAGGTTCCGGCAACTCGGCTAATTTCCCGGGGTGACATATGCTTAGGGCGCCATCAACGATCTTCCAAAATAGGAAAAAAGCTTTGCGTGTGGGCGCCATGAAAAAAAAAATATAGAAAGTGCACTAAAAAGATGTGTTGATCTAAAGGCTACAGAAAAGTTATCGGCAGGCTGATTGTTCGTACTGTAATAATACAAGTTAAACAAACAATATCATTTTTTCGTTGTTTGCTAAAAGATTTAAAAAAAACTCATTAGCTAAACCCTAGTTGGTTGTTTTTTTTAAATTACACACACACACACAAAAAATAAAAAAAATAAAATGATTAAGCTTTAAGAGGCGCCAAAGTTAAGTTTTCCCAAGGCTCCAGCAACCCCATTGCAGTGCCGCCTCTGCGCACACCACTCCTGTGACCTCTGTCTCAGATTAGGTGATAATATTATCTACTAGCGGATATACCCGACGTGGCCCGGGATCGCACCAGGGCCCCGATCCTGGTGGGACCCCGATCCCAATGAGACCCCAATCCCATTTTGTCGCTGATTCCGGCGCAATCCCGTTTCCAGGTTTGATCCCGGTCCCCAGTGCGATCCCATTTTCTTGTGGCTTCCAAAGGGAATCCAGATCCCGGTGGGATCTCGAGTCCGATGGGATCCCGATCTTGGTGGAGCCCGATCGGCTACCGATCCCGTTAGGATACCGTTTTCTATGGGATCCCGTTTCACCTAGGGACCCTCTTTTCCAATTGTATCCCGTTTCCCGATTAGGACCCCGATCTCGGTTTGATCCCGTTACCCGATGGGATCGCGTTACCGATGGGTTCCAGTACACTAATGGATCTCGCTCCCCATTAGGATTTTATTCCTCTATGGGATCATGCTCAGTGCGATTTTGTTCGAATAAGCTTTTAGATCACGTAATATAACCCCTTGGAACAATAAAGAACCTTCTGGAAGATTCTAGATTTAATTTAATATGCTCCATGAAACCTGTAAAAAATTACTCTTCAAAGTAATTCTTTTTCAAATACGAAATATTATACAACAAATTTGCACCACTATAACTGTAGTACATTTAAATTGAAATAGGAGCCTCGGTGGGGGCCCATTTAATAAAGTACCTTTTTTAGTCATGTCTGAGATGGGGAAGAGGGGAGGGGGGCTATAAAAATCATTCAGATAAATTATAGATTTGAAATTTAAAATTTGTCGCATTAAATCGACTTAAAATGACCTTAGATATAGCTTTTTAAAATTATCGAACTTTCTAGAAAATTAACAACATTCATCAATCCATGTAAAAACGTAAGTGGAACAAATCCAGCAAGCCGGCCACAAACAAACAAACTTTCACTTTTATATATAGATATGATTATTAAACAAATTCTTTACCTGTTATTGTTTTTAAAACATCCTTTTAATTGAAAAATTGAGCAAACTGAACTTTAAAGCAAAAGTGTCTTATTTGAACTTAAATGCAAAAGTGTGTTATTTGAACTTAAAAGCAAAACTGAGCTATCTGAACGTAAATGCAAAAGTGTGTTATTTGAACCTAAATGCAAAAGAGTGTTATTTGAATTTAGTGCGGAAACTATACTATTTCAACTTAAATGCAATAATACGCTAACTGAAGATAAATGCAATAGTGTACTATTCAAAAAAACTAGTTTCTGTTCATTTCTTATTTCAGTGAACCTTCTAAATACCATTCTTACCTTGCGGTACTGAGTTATCAAGAAGCAATGGATTTCCCCACCATGACGTCACTCTGCCCTCATCATTAAAAGTCACGTGCAGCTCGCCTAAATATTTCCCATAAGCGTAGTCCTGGACGACAAGAACCCGCTGGCCACTGTCTGACGTCACCACAGTCGGGTAAACGCCATCAATCTTCTCGTTGGATGGCGACGAACCTGTAACCAAAAGAAGTCTTAGTGTTTATGGCTTTGTGTTTATAAACATCTCAAACTAGAGGCCGACTGAATTTCGGCTTCGGTTTTGGCACCGAAAGGGGCCATTTGATCACTTTCGGCTTAATTTCGGTTTCGGCCGAAACCAAACAGTTAAATTTCGGTTTAATTTCGGCTTCAGCCGAAACTGAACAGTTAAATTTCGGTTTCATTTCAGCTTCGGTCGAGACTGAAATGTTAATTCCTTCGTTTGTGAAAGTCATTTTTATTTATCATTATCATGCTCACTAATTTTGTCATTGGAAAAGGTGAATAATATTGCATAATCCTGGGGAATGGTAATACTTCTTCTATTATTTTTGTTTTATTTTATTTAATTAAGGAAACCTAGGCTTTTTCAATTCATTCATTTCTTGAGATCATCATTATCATGTTCATAAACATTTTTATTGATGGAATAACAAGTGTGCGCATGTATCACTAACTTGTACTATAATTATATAGTAGGCCTACTACAGACCTGTTTACTTTATGATTCAGGTGACCAATGAGACCCGTCAGAAGTAATATTTAAGAGACCCGGTTTAAAAAAAAATAATAATATCCCCCATCAAAGCAGGTGAGGGAGGTTGGTTACCGAACGAAATAATTACGTCACCAGACTAATGTGTTGATAGTAGGCTAAATATTAATACAGAAATATCTTGCCAGCTATTTATAAAAATACAAAGCATTAGTATGACGAAAACCGAGAAACATTTTGGTGATATTTCTATAGCCTACATAACTGATATTTAAGTGGCAATTGGCTTTATTAGAACCACAATAAGTATTTTAGGTATATGTTTTAGATTAGAATTTAGATTATAATTATATTATAAAAGAAAATGGCACTCAAGGGTCTATTTTGAATGAACCCCCCCCCCCTCCAACCGGTCGATATTTTCTCTTACCATGCTTCTTACAAAAACACTTTTTGAAGAAATTTAAATTACTTTTAAATTAAAATAGTAAAAGCCAAAGTATTCATTGGATGTTTATTAATATTCACGATGATCTCATTTTAAAAAAAAAAAGAATGTAAATATTGATACTTCTCCAATCATTTTTTATGTATGTAGAGTGTATGCGTGGACGAATTTCAAAATACCTAACTATTTTAATTTCGGCTTCGGTTTCGGCCAAAACCAAAAAGTTAAATTTTGCTTTCATTTCGGTTTCGGCCGAAAGTCATTTTAAAATTCGGCCTAGTTTCGGTTTCGGGCCGAAATCAGAAAAAAAATCACTTTCGGTCGGTCTCTATCTCAAACGCAGTCCGTGGAAACATTTTGTCTTGAAACAAAGCGTAGACTACCGAAAATGAAACTCTGGATGAAAATAAATGTGTTAAAAGTACTCCTATGTGTTTAATTAAACAACACCTTAAACATGTTTTTTTTCATATAAATCCTTTATCAGATTTAATATCGAGCAATGAGGGGTGGGAACTGAAAATTTGGAGGAAAAAAACATGCGTGCAAGGTGCAAACTTGATAAGAATCCCATTGAGTGCTCACGCACTTCATTTAGCGCAGTTGTCGGGAATCTTCCTTCATGGTCCCATTGAAAAACAGGAAAAACTTATTTATTTATTTTATTATTTTTTTTTTGGGGGGGGGGGGCGGGGGTCTGGGTTGAAAATTCGTTTGAAAATTTCGTCTTCGGCAACGAGTCTGTTCGACAAGTTTCAGCTCGATAGCTTCATGAGAAGTGGGTCACCTGGCCGTCCGAATATTTTTGCCACCCAGCTAGCCACACATGAACAAATCCGAACAAATTTCATATAAGGATCTAGTAATAATTACCAAGAAAATTATTATTGGAAAAAGGAACACTTACTTATAATGAAAGGGGGAGCAATTATTGAATACTTGATGTAATTATTGTGCGCCTCCTGTATCTATTTTCTTTCTACTTATATAAAACTATGCTGCGTAATTTTCGTAATCAATTTACCGAAAATTCGAGAAATTTGAAAGGTGGCCATCTTTGACCAGTTCTTCTGGTAGTTTCTTGCTTTCCTAAACATGGGAGAAGTGGTTTGCCATCCATGGCCAAAAGACACAGCAAACAACAGAACTGACCAATATCGCTTATGAAACAGACAACTAACGCTTATGACGGCAGACAACCAACGCTTATGACACAGACAACCAACGCTTATGACAGCAGACAACCAACGCTTGTGACAGCAGACATCCAACGCTTATGACACAGACAACCAACGCTTATGACAGAAGACAACCAACGCTTATTACAGCAGACAACCAACGCTTATGACAGCAGACAACCAACGCTTATGACAGCAGACAACCAACGCTTATGACACAGACAACCAACACTTATGAGACAGACAACCAACGCTTATGACAGCAGATAACCAACGCTTATAACAGCAGTCAACCAACGCTCATGACACAGACAACTAACGCTTATGACACTGACAACCAACGCTTATGACACTGACAACCAACGCTCATATCAAGTAGAAAAAAAGGGATGCAACAATAATAACATAAACCATATCTACATTGACATTAAAATTAACATTTGGACTTTTTGTTTTTAATTTTTTTTTAAATAACCATTATTGTAAAAGTTCCTGCTGCGGAATAGACTTATTAAACAGTAATACATAACCATTACCACAATAAAACTAAGTAATAGGACAACCTTAGTGATAATGAAAAGAAATGCACCCAAGACAAACTTAAGATCGACCGCTGCTCCATATCAACAGCTCCTTCCTAATATCAAATGTCCCAGCCTACCGTTGTAAAGGAAGGTATTGGTGTGTCCACCCACGATGACGTCAACATTCCTCAGGCGCTTGGCGAGGTCAAGGTCCACTGAGAACCCCGCATGTCCGACAGCGATGATCTTATTGACTCCCTGCAGAGTGAGTTGGTCGACCTCGGCCTGAACTGCTTCCAGCTCCTTGCTGAATGTCACGGTGCCTGGATGGGCATTTATGTTCACATACAATTGAATGGAAATGGAAACGTAAGATAAGAGAGCGGAAATATATCCCATACATTAAACTATGTGATTTACCCTTATAACCAATATCCCATACATTAAATATGTGATTTGCCCTTATAACCCTTTTTTTTTTTTTTTTTCTAGAGTGGGCTTCGTAGGACGAAATCCACATAGCCTGGGATTATTATACTTGAAGGATTATAAGCTGGTTCCCAACAGCAAATCGCCTCTCTCCACGCCGCTGGGTAACCCAAGGGAACATCATTGGATGATACAGCTCGGCACCAGTGACGTCGCAGGAGTTGTCGGAATGTTTCATTGTATCAATGTTATCCGCCTTTCGGGACTCCATCTCCGGGTTTGATTTCAGAGTTTCCTTCTCTTAGATGAGTTGTGGTTAACGAGTCCCATCTACCCGGGGTGCTGGTGGTGTTTTTGCTCTAGCTGGAATTGAACTCCAGGCCACCAACTTGAGATTTGCTCAGTTTAGACCACTCGGCCACCCAGCACAATTATAACCCTTATCCCATACATTGAACTATGTGATTTACCCTTATAACCAATATCCCGTACATTGAACTACGAGATTTACTTCAGCCTATACATCATACTCTTCCCCACATGCTAAAGCTTACCCACACCAGATATATATGACATTTCACTTACCCACACCAGATATATATCACATTTCACTTACCCACGCCAGATATATATGACATTTCACTTACCCACACCAGATATATATCACATTTCACTTACCCACACCAGATATATATGACATTTCGGTTGAAGTATACCCCACCACACCAAATATATCCCATACATTGAACCATGTGATTTACCCTTATAACCAATATCCCATGCATTGAACTACGAGATTTACTCCAGCCTATACACCATACTCTTCCCCACATGCTAAAGCTTGTACTAAAAGTCCACCACTCACAACAAATGCATTCTCCTTAACTTCCGCTCATGCTACGTCGACGTACCAGCACTTGAGATGTATGGTGTTTCGGTTGTAGTGTACCCCACCACACCAATCCTCTGGCCATTAACAATTCGTATGGTCGATTTCTTGATGACGTCTCTCAGCTCAGGTGTGTTTGTCAAGTTCATGTTGCTGGACAGCAAGGGAAACGTCACATTCCTGGCGAAGGGCTCCAGTCCAGCGATCCCCCTATCAAATTCGTGGTTACCGATGGCCTGTTATTGCGAAAGATGAAAACTTTAAGAATCACTGTTAGAAAATATGGAACCACATTGAAACTTTAAGAGTCACTGTTAGAAAATATGGAACCAAGTTGAAACTTTAAGAATCACTGTTCGAAAATATGGAACCACATTGAAACTTTAAGAATCACTGTTAGAAAATATGGAACCACATTTAAACTTTAAGAATCACTGTTAGAAAATATATAACCACATTGAAACTTTAATAATCACTGTTAGAGGACATGGGACCACACTGAAACTTTAAGAATATCTGTTAGAGGACATGGACCACATTAAAACTTTAAGAATCACTGTTAGACAGCATGGGACCATATTAAAACTTTAAGAATCACTGTCAGACGACATGCAACCGCATTTGATAAAGACTAACAACGCCACAAAAAATAAACGCCATTTGTTCTGGACCTGGCCATCCCCCAATATAATAAGTCAGACCTGCACAACCACTTCGCGGCCCGCGAAGCAACGAAATTTTCATTTTTACTATAATTTTCTTAATAGCCCCCCCCCCTTCCTATATTCTTATTTTATATAAAGTATTAGGGCCCGCCTTACATTTTGAGTTGTGCAGGCCTGTAATAAATCATTCCACCAGAGTTTTGACAATTAAGCTGTACCACCTGACAGAGAATATGACACCCGTCATACTAACACATTGGTTCCTAAAATATCTGCTTCTTTTGTGTGCGTCCAATTCTCTAGTAATGGGATACTTCGACAAACAGCCAGAATATCTCTGGATTTATCTACGTGCCCGCCTACAGAAATGTTACAGCGAGAAAATCGTACGGGTCCCGACAAAGTATTAATATTTCTTTTCTGTGTCCTTGTTGACATGGAGATTGTTCACTGATAAAATAAGACCCTCTCTCACCTCCCAGACAACATTCGTATGCCCTTGTTGACATGGAGATAGTTCACTGATAAAATAAAGACTGTCTCCCACCTCCCAGACAACATTCGTAGGTCCTTGTTGACATGGAGATAGTTCACTGATAAAATAAAGACTGTCTCCCACCTCCCAGACAACATTCGTAGGTCCTTGTTGACATGGAGATAGTTCACTGATAAAATAAAGACTGTCTCTCACCTCCCAGACAACATTCGTGTTTACCTGGACATCTTACCGACCGTCTGCGACCTTTGTCGTCCCCACAACATGAAAAATATCTGACCATGGTGTCGTAGCCATGAAATGTCGTAACATTGTGTCGTTGAGGTCAAATTTCTTACCATAGCGTCATATCCGATGTGATTCATGAACTCGGCAGTCACTATTCCACCAAACGTATAGAACCATAAGGTCCCCTGGAACTGATCCCCAGCGTCCAGTAGAAGTGTCTGATTGGCGTACTGGGACCGCAGCTTCTTGACCTAAAAGAAATGAGACAACAGTTGCAATGAGATGTGTTAGCCTCACGAGAAAAGGACTCTCTCTTACCATGCATGCAGACTTTTATACATTACATTGATGATTAGGGGCGTCCATTAATTACGTCAACACAATAGGGGGGGGGGTGGTGGAAATTTTGACAGTTGTTGACAAGGGGGAGCGAGGGGGTTTAGATTAGTTGACGTCAACAATCTTGTTATCTCTACTAAAATTTTAATCTTAAAAATAAACTGGTTATTACATTATTTTTTTAAAATTATAAGTGTAAATGAGTGTAAATAGTCATACAATTTTTTAGGCTTTTAACAATATAAGAGTTATTTAATGTGTGTCTGTGCACTGCAGATGGCTGGTCAGAATGTTAGCACACTTTGTTAGTGCAAGAGAAGTGAAAAGTTGGCCTTTCTTCACCTGTTGATTCTGTTGCAGGTATGCAATGTTACTGACAATAATCATATTTATACCACAAACAATGATATTTAATCTTTAACAACCCTTCAACTGATTCTGCATTACACAATTTAAGTGTAAATCTTTTTAACTTGATTAACAAGCTAATCATGTAATGAAATGTTTTTCCTACAATTTTATTGTCATTAAAATAGATCAGCACAAAGTAAAATGTATTTATACTGTAATTCTTTCTTTTTTTTTGGGGGGGGGGGGGGGGGGGGGGGGGGGGGGGTAAGAAAANGTTGACATAATTACATAGATTTAAAGTTTGAAAGTTGTTGATAAAAAAAAAAGGGGGGGGGGGTAAAAATTGCTTAAAATTGTTGACGTAATTAATGGACGACCCCCTTGACCAACCTTAATTTATTTTTTACTCAATAAAATGTGATGGTTTCAATGGTTATCTGTTATTGAACATCACAATAATTTGGTTCGCTATGATCTAGCTCAGACAACGGGGTAACGTCTTGCGTTCAGAAGAAATATGATGGCCTCTTATTTATTTAATACCATCTCTACTTTTACAAATAACTTGTATTTATTATGTTTGATACAGAGTTGAATATATCAAAGTACAGAGTTGAATCTAACAAAGTACAGAGCTGAATCTATTTAAAGAACAAGAGTTGAATCTATCAATGTACAGAGTGGAATCTATTGAAGTACAGCGTTGAATCTATCAAAGTACAGAGTTGAATCTATCAAAGTACAGAGTTAAATCTATCAAAGTAAAGAGTTGAATCTATAAAAGTAATAGGCTGAATCTATCAAAGTTTTGTCAATCCAAAAATATCTTATTTAAAACTTGGATTAGAGCAAGAATAAAATGGCTGTAATTAGAGACTGCCGCGTCAATTGTCCTTAGTTTCTGTCGTCATATGTCCCCCCCCCCCCCCCCCCCGCGTGAAGAAGTCTGAGGTCTCAAGGAAATTTTCTCGAGAGTAATAAAGCTTTTTCATGCAATGAAGTTGTTTCTTGCAATGAAGTGCTTTCTTGCAATTGGTGTGTTTCTTGCAATGAAGGTGTTTATAACAATGGGGGTGTTTCTTGTAATTGAGGTGTTTCTTGCAATGAAGGTGTTTCTTGCGATGAAGGTGTTTCTTGCAATGAAGGTGTTTCTTGCGATGAAGGTGTTTCTTGCAATGAAGGTGTTTCTTGCCATGAAGGTGTTTCTTGCAATGGGGTGTTTCTTGCAATGAAGGTGTTTCTTGCAATGAAGGTGTTTCTTGCGATGAAGGTGTTTCTTGCGATGAAGGTGTTTCTTGCAATGAAGGTGTTTCTTGCAATGAAGGTGTTTCTTGCAATGAAGGTGTTTCTTGCAATGAAGGTGTTTCTTGCCATGAAGGTGTTTCTTGCAATGGGGTGTTTCTTGTAACTGAGGTGTTTCTTGCAATGAAGGTGTTTATTGCAATGAATGTGTTTCTTGCAATGAAGGTGTTTCTTTAAATGAAGGTGTTTCTTGCCATGAAGGTGTTTCTTGCCATGAAGGTGTTTCTTGCAATGGGGGTGTTTCTTGTAATTGAGGTGTTTCTTGCAATGAAGGTGTTTCTTGCAATGAAGGTGTTTTTTTTTTGTTTTTTTGCAATGAAGGTGGTCTCAGTTATATGTCAGATTAACAGGTAATAAATCGGAAAAAAAATTGTATAAAGTATTTTATTTAAATATTTAACTAAAAGCAATTTAAAAGAAGTGTGAATATTACTTTCATTTTTTCCCCCATCATGCATACAAGTATTATGTGGTAAATGTTATTGGATTCACAAGTTCCAAAGATTATGCATCAGTTGTGTTACGACAAACACTACGCGAACATTCATTATAAAGGAATCAGCCTACCATCGTACGGATTCTCGCCACACCACCGAAACATTTGCCGGCTGCAGAAAGTTCTTTGGCACACGGCCCGCTGCGTCTGAAAACAAACACACGAAGGTACTTTTTATTCTTCAGTATTAACATTTCAGTAGACGAGGAGACCAACTGCAAAACTGGCCAAAGTCCCTATTTTGAAATAAATGAGTTATCTATCTTGGCTGGTGGATTAAGTGTCAATCTATAGTATTTTGTGTATAAAATGATTAAAAATCGTTATTTTAGTCTAACATTCATTATTTCAAAATATATAAATACCATATTCCCTACATAAATTAAATTGACAAAAACTCATTTTTATCTAAATAAAAAAAAAGGTTGCTTAGCAGGGTTTGCAAATTGACTCCTCAAATGGAATCATAATTTGTTGTGGTCGTAATAAAGGGGGGGGGGGAGACTGCACTCGGGTTAAAAAAGTGGAAATGAGCGAAACATGTCAGTGAAAGGAGTATGTGAAAGCCTGGAAAAAAAAAGAAGGCTTCTTGCCGACACGTTCGTTGTTTTGTTTCGCACCTTTTTTGTTTCAAGTTTTCCCATATTTCGTTTCGCTCAGTTCCATTTGTTGTAGTCGAATTGATAAAAATGGCTTTTGACCACAAATAAAATTATTAAATCAATGTCAAAGAATATATTTAAAATGCCTGAATTGTCCACTCACTTGTCCGTCTGCTCTATCCTGGAATGGACATCGTTCGTGTGAAGTATGGTCAGTTGGTATTCAGCTGACGTCATTACTACCAGCATCACGGCTAGGGCCATTGCTCCCGGAAGTTGTCTTTCGGCCATGACGCTTTTCCCTCGGAACATCCCCCGGAAATTCTGAAGCTGCACCTTTTACGGGGACCTAACTCCGCTGTACAGATGATGATCAATCAAATGTCTGTGGTAAGTAATTTAAATAAGACTTTTGCGTATATTTGGGAAAATCTAAAGTTTTAATCTTTGTACTTGAAGGTTGGGCTCACACTAAGAAAATAACCTAAAATATCTCTCATAAGCACCAAGTCAAACGCACCAAGTCAAACGCACCAAGTCAAACGCACCAAGTCAAACGCACCAAGTCAAACGCACCAAGTCAAACGCACCAAGTCAAACGCACCAAGTCAAACGCACCAAGTCAAACGCACCAAGTCAAACGAAGTCAAACGCACCAAGTCAAACGCACTAAGTCAAACGCACCAAGTCAAACGCACCAAGTCAAACGCACCAAGTCAAACGCACCAAGTCAAACGCACCAAGTCAAACGCACAAAGTCAAACGCATCAAGTCAAACGCACCAAGTCAAACGCACCAAGTCAAACGCACACGACCCTCTCTAACAGTTTAGAAATGGCGAACTTGTCATAGTCATGAGATGGTAACTGAAGGTAACTTCTGGTATGTTACTTCTGTTACCAACAGGGGACAGGGAGGGTCATAGGTTGCAGGCTCCACCATTTCCCCCAGGCCTTATATTTAAATATTAATTAATTAATGAATTGGATATTTATATAGCGCTGGCATCCATTCTACTTTAGCATGATTACTGCGCTCTGCTTTACTTAAATCTATTTAAACAGAAAAGTTTTAAAATGTTTCTTAAATGATTATTTATCATTTTCAATATCCTTCAAAAAAGATTAAGGCAAACTGTTCCATAATTTTGGCGCTATCGCTTCAAAAGAGCGCACTCCGTAAGACTTTTTTCTGTGTTCATCCGCATTGGGAATTTTCAGTAAGGACTGTGTTGAAGACCGCAGTTTCTTTAAGGATACATGTTTATAAATCAGTTCTTTAAGATATTCTAGTGCAGAGCCTTCTATGCAGCTGTACGCCAGGGACAGAATTTTGTAATTAATGTGCTCACTCACAGGAACCCAATGGAGATCTCGTAGAACTGGGGTGATGTGGTAAGATTTCTTTATCCGCGACACAATACGTGCTGTAGTATTCTGTACCTTCTGGAGTCCCTGAATTTGGTTCTGAGGTAAACCCCACAAACAACTTTTACAGTAATCCAATCTTGACTGGATTAGAGTTACTGCTACGGCATTGGCTGTTCTCTTATTGAGTTGAGGACGCGCTGACCCAGGGCGCGCAGATGACAGAAGCATGCCCTGACCTCAAAACTGATATGAGGAATCATTCTAAGTTTACTGTCAATATATAAGCCAAGGTCTCTGACAGTGGAGGACAACGGGATCTCTGATTCACCAACTTTTATTGATGCAATGGCAACTTTCCGAAGATTGGCGTCTCAACCACAAATAATAATAATTGCCTCAGTCTTATCGTCATTTAATTTTAGTATATTTGATGAATCCATTCTTTCACAGCAAGACAGCAGTCCTCGACAGCCTGAACAGCAGTAGCACACTCCAAGGGATCAGGGTGGGAACACTTGTATAGTTCTGTGTCATCAGCAAATATTTTGCGGGAAATACCATAACTTTCAATAATTTTTGCCGAGCTGGCTAGTGTACATGGAGAACAGAATAGGTCCTAAATAGTAATTCTTAAATAAACAATTGTATAAAACATACATAGAAATTGTCTGCATAAACAGGCTTTACTAAATTTGTAAATTATTTTTTCAAACTCGCCTTTCGCATCCTTTAAAGAAAAAAATATAACTTTAAAAAAAAAAAAAAAAAAAAAAAAAAAAAAATTTTTTTTATAAAAAAAAAAATCATCTGGCGACGATGAGAGACAACTGAGAACCTCTGATTATTGTCTGCTCTAGAAACAGATTAAGCAGGCTGGTTGTTGTTTTTTTTTTTTTTTTTAGCGGTCTCCGGAGGAATGTTAGGGTGGCCTACTTTTGAGACTACGTGACGAAATGGAATTGAAGTACACGTGCAACTGTCGATGAAACACAACGATTGGTCACCGAGCAGGTTCACGGGCGGCCTGGCAGTCGTTACGCTGCTTCTTTAACACGTTTGGACGTGGGGGCCGACTCGAAACGCTAACACAATGCGCCGTCATCAATTCGGGTCACGACGTTCAGCAAAGGTAATTAGAACAGAGCTTCCTTTGTAGAGCAGTCTTTAAAAAAAAAAAAAAAAAGAAAAAAAATTAAAAAAAAAAAAAAGGATGGAGAAAAAAAAAAAAAAAAAAAAAAAAAAAAAAAAAAAAAAAAAAAAAAAAACATGATTTTTTTCTCTAAAAAATAATTTGTGTTAAAAGTGATTGTTTGTTGAATTTATCAGTATCTGCACCCAAAAGTTGCACGTGCATGCAAAAATATATTGTGGAACCTATATGTCATATATTAAATATTTCAAGACAGTCAGAAGTGAATAATTATATATTTTTCCAGCTGAATGTCCTCGTTACAAAGAAGGAATGATATCCTCTTGTAGTCCAGAAATCCTCATGTAGTCCAGATATCATCTTGTAGTCCAGATATCCTCTTGTAGCCCAGATATCCCCTTGTAGTCCAGATATCACCTTGTAGTCCAGGTATCCTCTTGTAGTCTAGATATCCTCTTGTAGTCCAGATATCCCTCTTTAGTCCAGATATCCCTCTTTAGTCCAGATATCCCTCTTTAGTCCATATATCCTCTTGCAGTCCAGATATCCTTTTGTAGCTCAGATATCCTCTTATAGTCCAGATATCCCTCTTTAGTCCGGATATCCCTCTTTAGTCCAGATATCCTCTTTAGTCAATATATATCCTCTTGCAGTCCAGATATCCTCTTGTAGTCCAGATATCCTCTTGTAGTTCAGATATCCTCTTGTAGTTCAGATACAGTCTGTTTATTGTTAATCGGCAGGATACAGGGGAACAAGTTGTTTTGCCAACCCTAAGCTACGAAATAAACTCTGCAGTTGTTTGAAGACACGGTACTTCAATAGAAAGAAAAAGTGCTAGGAGAGGACCGCCGACCCCTCCCCCCACAGCACCCCCCTCTCTTACGCCACTGAACCATGTTTTACCATATGGAATCAATGGAAGCTCCAAAATTTTTATGCAAACAAAGTCATATCACGATTACACAGCTGAGATTCAGCTCTTTCTTTAAACAGTTGCTGTTCCACCACGCTTTGCGAGGTAAATGGGTCACAAAGTCACGTGGTACCAATAAGTCGTTGTTTAAAAACAAAATCCTCCTCTAAGACAGAGAGCCTTATCCATAAAGTTCGTGTTATCTTAAATACATAAATGATCAACTATTAAGTCATACTATTGTGTGGAGGCTTGTGTGTGTGTGTGGGGGGGGGGTGTATGGGTAATATGGCGCCAACTAGAGGGCCGGGGGAAGCTGGGAATATTTCAAGGCAGAGCGGTTTGGGTTTTCTTTAATGATTCGATTAAAGTGAGAATTATGAAGTATTAAAAGACAGAAGACATTTTTTTTTTTAAAATTGGCCCATCGTTTTAGAATTGAAAATGTGTAGAGCTAACAGCTTGTTGCGATGTCTGCCTTATGAAGACTTGATGTCTGCCTTATGTCCACTTGACGCATGTATGCCAATCGGAGTGTGTAAATAGGGGCATCTCGCGTTCCTTTACCAAGTTTTTTGGCGTGTTTTAACAGCCTGGAATGCATCCGTCTCTCAGCAGCACCCCCCCCCCCTCACATCTGCGAGATCTACATTTGGGGGCAGGACATAGTCAGGCAGTGTCGGATCCACTGACATAATAACTGCGTATGGGCGGAAAATGTATTCCCAACCAGTGTTTCTGTGTTTTTACATCAAAGGGAGTGAGTAGATAAAAACGATGTTTTTCAGTTGGCTCCAGAGGTTAAAGAGCCTGATATCAGAGTGATTTCTCAGTTAGCAGTGTCTTTACGTATGGATCAGTGGCGTACCTAAGGTTAGTGCCACTCAGGGCGCGTCAAGCTGTTTGTCGCACCCTTCCACGAAAAAAAGTCAGCAGGAGGCCGAAAATTCTGCCCCTAGATATAATTTTAAAAAGCCCCACCCCAGGGTGGACCCACCCCCTCTAAACCCACCTTCCTAAGCCACTGTTTAGGAAATGTCTAAAACACTGCATCTCTATTTGTCTATTTGCTAGAAGAAGTCACGGGAAGACAAGCTTACAGATAACACTTCCTGGGGTTTTGCTTATCTGGGGATTTCGAGTTGGGGATATTCCTCGGGAAAAAAATTGACATAGCTAAAATTATACTAAGATCTTGGTCGATAAACGCTACTCATAACCCACATGTGCCATCGATGAACGGTATCTAGTGACCCACGGGAGAACTGAGCGCTGTCCTGCGAGCTCATACTTCCACAGGATAGACAACAACAGGGACCCGACCTGCCGGCATTGCACGCTGGCCCCGGAGACAACTGCTCAAGTGTTTGGGTGCCCTGCATCGGCTGTTGCGAGGGTGGCCAGGGCCTCGTTACGACAATGCTATATGGCACAACCTGGCAGGTGGAGCTGGTTGCCAATGTACTAATCGGCACAGCCCGGCAGGTGGAGCTGGTTGCCAATGCACTAGCCGGCACAGCCCGGCAGGTGGAGCTGGTTGCCAATGTACAAGCCGGCACAGCCCGGCAGGTGGAGCTGGTTGCCAATGTTCTAGCCGGCACAGCCCGGCAGGTGGAGCTGGTTGCCAATGTACTAGCCGGCACAGCCCGGCAGGTGGAGCTGGTTGCCAATGTACTAGTCGGCACAGCCCGGCAGGTGGAGCTGGTTGCCAATGTACTAGCCGGCACAGCCCGGCAGGTGGAGCTGGTTGCCAATGTACTAGCCGACACAGCCCGGCAGGTGGAGCTGGTTGCCAATGCACTAGCCGGCACAGCC